CAATTCCGACGAGAACTCTATGAAACACGGATAATAAAAAGCTTATTTTCGTTGCATCCTCGAAAAACATCGTAGCTATAGGGCTATTAGTCAGGATTATGGTTATTTAGGCTCTGCGACACCTAACACGTAACACACGGGAAAACGCCAAAGGGTTGCTGTTTTCGGTACACCCTGTAAAGCGTATTGGGACATACTTCCATTCCAAATTGTTTCTCTGTCAAATTTCCTTAAGCTCAAATCTGGCTGCATATCTTTAACCCGACATGCATTTGTTTTCCTGCACACTGGAAAAACTAGAAACTCTTCATCGGCAACTCAAGAATGGCATAAATAATCAGAAGATACTGATCTCACAAACGAATGCATCGCGCTGAATTTGGCAGTTGAAATCGTTCCAGGTACCAGTGTAATTGGTTTGTGGGTGGTGGCGGTTGGTAGCGGTACATCTCAAACGACAACTTTCCAAAAAAAGATGAAACGAAGATTCTTACCCTAGCTTCGACGCAGAACTCCTTCCCGAACTCGTTGTTCGGTTCAATTTTGTGAAAATGGGAGAATAGGGCTGTCGCTCCGTTAAGACCAATCAGCTTCCTTAGGTTTCCCTATAATCGAAGGTGTTTTCGAGTCTGCTACTACAAGGATTGCATTGGGGTGAATTAACCATAAGAAAACTAGCCTTTTGTTAATAACCTCACCGAATTTATAGTTCGCTAACAAAAATACATGGTATTTTTAATCCTTTAATTGTTTTCCTCTGGCAAAACCCCACATTATCCAATTTCGGAGCTAGGATCACGTCATGGCATTTCGTGTATAGTTTCTCATCGCCGACCGGGAGATCTGAAGTTTTTGATACAAAAAATCAGACAGAGACGCCTACTCAAAACAAAATAATCTTCCTCTATGCTATTAATTGTCAGCAGCTCTGCATTCATCGCTTTGCATCGCTGCCGTGCTGTTTCGTGCGTGGCACGGCTGAGGACGGGCTAAAATTGAGTCTCTCGATTAAAATCAAAGCATTGCCTTACCAAATAACATTTCGAGAACTGCTCCCCGTATATCCATCTCTCTGGACATTTGCTAACGGACGGAGTTGCAACATTTGCCTCATTTCTAAAAGACCTATTCTAAAAAACCGAAAACACTCGACGCAGAAGTATCGAATCGGAATGTCACCCTCACCATTCAAAACCATTTGAAAAGACGAGTTTGCAAAAACTTTCAAAATCCTTTTATTTCAACGCGCGATTTTACAAGGCATTTAAAAACATTAAGGAACGGCCTCTGCATGTAATTAACGGCTGTTTCCGGTCATTTGCTGCAGAAATTGAAGCAAATTAGCTCGTATGCAACCCTGAACAGCAGTAGAATTTTAAAAATGGCTTAAAAATAGCGCATTTAAATAAAACCATGGTTTTAAAGATTGAAGCAATCTCGCCGTTTCAAGGGGTTTCGTCGTATGGTGTTGTAAATATCCTTCCGATCCCATATTTCTGCGTCAAGCTATAGGGGTGTCTTTTTATTGGGACGCCCTGCGGCCTATTTCTGTATACCGGTAGTACCTGACAAAATACTCGTCACGTTGTGGAAAAAACTTTGAATAAAACAGAAGGGATACTGTTATCCCCAATGAATAAAGCCCAAGCAGGAATATGGCTCCGAGATAGCACCAGTACCCGGTGCGTGGATCTCTCGGCTTTTCCGGATATTCCTGGACAACTAGACTGTAGGCTGGGGGCTTCATTATGTATTTGTGTGCGGAGGGAGCAATAGGTGATTTTAACACCGCTTCTTCATTAGTCTTATATCCCAGATTTGCACTTGACGATTTGGGGGAGTTTGTAAGAAAATTGCGGAGGCGACACTTGCTATGTCCAGTTCCCGGAAAAAACCCGCTCTACAAACGAGGATCGCGGGAAACAACTTGACGTTAACCTCGAACCCCCAACCCATTGAAGGAAATTGTCCTATTTTTACTCTGCTGAACCTGTGGGTGATGCTGATAGAATAGCTAGTGTGCCTGGGATGTGGGAATGTGGATAATGTGATTTGATGGTAATGACTCAGTTTGTACTGGAAAAGGGCAAGGATAGTTTTATAGTTAGTTCTTGATGCGTTTTTATTAATAATTCGGATCTGTCGTTTGGGATGAAACTCCTGGAATAGATCCGCCTCGGATTTGAAGTGATGTTATGTCCGCGAGTAGAAATCTAAAAAATCAGATATTGCTTGCAAAAGAGTATCTCATTTTAAGGGATTCTCTTTGTGTTGTGCTAAAGCCGAGTCATAAAATCTCCGAGTCCTAATCCCAAATCTTTTTGGCTTGTCAAATTTTCTTTTGTTAATTGGTGCAAAGTCGAAATAACTAGCCAAAAATCAAGCGAAAATTCTTGCCATAGCCCAAAAATTACTGTAGCTAGAGGGCTGAAAGTTGGCCGAGCATTTTAGATACTTTTGCGCACCTCGCTTCGAAATTTTCATTTGCTTGACCCGACATGGCGAAATGCCAACGTGACCTTTTTGATTTGAATTCCCTGCAAATCAAACCCATAACTTGGGTGCAAAGTACGGCACAATGGGTACTTTCCTATAGGTCCGGTAGAAGTTGTTTTCCGATCCAATTTTTTGGGTCCAGTTATCCGGTAATCATCAATTGGACCCGTTTTTTGCTTGCTTGTAAAGATCTATCCCGCACCTCTTTAAAAAGCTCTTGACCAGAAGCAGGAATCCAAAATGTTGGTCAAAACAGTGCCACAATCGCGTAACTAGAAAAGCCCATCATCCGTCGGCCAATTCCAAAAGCTCAAGCGCACGTTTCTCCCAATTATAGCCCACGCCCACGCCTCGGGATTTGCACGCACCCTCCGAAATGATGCAGCGCGGGGGCAGCGCGCCAGGAAATCCCGTATTATTATAATAGGACTCCACTAGGGCCTTTTGCACAGAGTAGACTCACATTTGGGGGTACAAAATCATGGCACGGCCGCTGCTTTTGGTCCTGACTGTCACGAATTTATGCTATGGCCAACATCTATCCGCTGAGCAGCTACAGAAACTGTTCGTCGACAAGCTGGACTTGGCCGGGGCGGTGAAGGTAAGGTTCCTAAGGGTTTATAAGACTTAGAATGCGGATTTTTAGCTTGCCGACAAGGTTGACAAATGGCTGGATTGTCCGAAAAAGTGAGGGTCATCACGAAATTTTCCGAGCAATTCGGGGTAAGTACGAATTAGAGTTCATGACGGTTTAAAATTTAGGACACTGCGCTAACTACCAACGTCACTACTTTATGGAGAACCTTGTACAGCCCAGGATTTTTTCAAAAACTCATCTGAAGGCAGCGAAGGAGAGTTCTTCTTTCCAAAAAGTCGGAACTGAAACATGTAAGTTTTTCCAGAGCTGAAGGAGCATCAAACTCCAAAAATCCACAATTCCATACACAAGTGCACGACGATAACGCGAGACCGAAAACTCCCCGTTAAAAAGTCGTTACTAAATATTTACCTCAAAATGCTATCGACTTTCAGCTAATGCACACCTACAATCTGGTGCTGCTCTCAGTAAAAACGATCCGGCTCGTGCTCTCAACGATATGCTCACCGAGATCAGGGGATTTGATTTATATCGTAAGAATCACTAAAAACTACTGGATTCCGTAATTTTAGCCCCAAACCGGTTTCTGGCAAGCGTATCGTTGACGATCGATCCGAAGACCGACGGTTGCGTCGCGCAGACGAAGGCAAAGGTAGTTTTTCTAAATTCTTCTCATGACCTTAATTATATCAGTACAATGTGACGACTACCGGAAGTGACGGCACTATTCATCGAGTTGCGTGTTTAACGCAATGCAATCGGTATGTAAAAACTGTAAAAAACAGAGCGTAAGGTAATTCAAGTAAAGTTTCATACCATTACTGCGCCCCATTAGCCCATGTGGCCTTCCGTAAAACTTTCAAAATTACAGGCAATCGATGAAACCCTGCCCAGCGATGAATGGGCCGAGCTGGACACAATCTTCACCTCGATGAAGCAACGATCATTCGAGTACGTCCCTCTACGGAGTCCGCAGTCTCCTTGACTGGCGCACCGGAGCCGGACCAGTAGATGAAGATCCCATGTATGGATGAGCAATAAAGAATTATTGTTATCTATGTCGATAATTCTACAACAATACATAAAAAGCGTTCTGTTGGATGCACGAAAACTAGACAAAGTCCTGTCCTGATCCTGTGCTGAAGTTTGGTGAAGTCTGGCTATCTTCTGAAAAACCGTGCCGAGACTGGCCGAAGTTAAACCGCGACGCATTTTAGCGCCTGCCAAATTCTCGTGCTGAATTTTAATATCGTGCAGTAACTATAATATGATCAATTGGTAGCTCATCATTTGTAGCCTGCCGTACAGAAACCCAATTTTCAAGATTCTGATAGTCCTGTAGCCCAGTTAAAAAACGGAATTTGAAGAAAATCAGAGCCCTTATGGTCGAAAAACGGGAATTTTCAGGTCGTTAGGTCCTTTGTGGTTTGTAGTTTGTAGCCCGGGGTGCAAGAGGCCCCTCTTCTCGGTTTTTTGTAGTTTGAGGTTTATAGTTTATCCCAAAAACCCGCGTTTCAGGGAAATTCCGCCTGGAACAAATTTTTGCTTAAAAGCAAGATCAATCTCAACAAATATCAGAAATATCAGTAATCAGAAGATCAAAAGCACCCAGAAAATAGAATCTATCCACATCACCCAAGTGCGTACTTGGCACCCAATTATTCCAGCACACCCACGCCCCGCACCTACACCCTCTGTGTCGGCTACCGTTATTTGTACAGTACACCGCTCATGCGCGCCAATTATATTCGAGTTGGAAAGTTCGATAAAAGCGATGCGGGGTGCGAGGTTTTGCACAAAATGAGTAGCACGACGGTGTTGCTGCTCGTGTTGCCATGCTTGGCCTATGCACAAAAATTGTCCGCATTCCGTGTGTCAATGCTATTCGGAGATCGGATAGATTGGGATGAGGCTTCGAGGGTACGTTTGGCTTTGCCGTTTTAACTGAACCTACCTATAAAAAATTTCCAAGTCTTTTAAATCCTCAGCAACAAATTTAATGTCGCCGAGAGCGCTAATATCGCCAAGACATGCGGTCAAAGGACTGGCAAATTAACGAAATACGCCGAGAAGTTCAGCGTAAGTTTGGAAACAATGGATTTAAAGTGTCTGGTTGTTTTAGGACGCAATTCTTACGCAAAATGTGACGTCTTTTATGAATGACCTATGCCTAACCCACGCGCACTCCCAACGGATTATGGAAGCCATGCATGGGAATACGTTGCTGACGCGAACCGAGCGCAGAATGGTACGGTTTGTCGGTTATAGCATCCTTTCGAACGATACGTCGGTTTAAAAGGTTCGGTTTATGAGCTACCAACGTGACGAGTTTTTCAGATCGGCCGCAGCTACAACTCGCAACTCGCAGTGAAATTTACAACGGCTCGCTCCGGGTTGTCGGCAATGATTATGGCCTGGCACTCCTTGGTAATTTCGGATTTGGCTTGCTGGAAACTGATTTAAACTTGAGCTTCAGCTAAAGCCTGCGTCTAAGCCCACGCCCGAAAGTCAAGTCCGAAACCAAAACCTTTTCAGATCAAGGCCGAGGACCCGAAGTTTCTTGCCGCATGTGAAGGGTTGGACCTGGACAATATTCCAAGATATGTGGGTCGTCACAATCAGGATTTTTGATACATGAATATACATACATGAATTTATTCGTTTCCTGTTCTAGCAAACCTACCTGGCCATGAAACAGAAAGCCTATGACGGTCCACCAGTCGATTCCAGTACATATCCGAGGGATCTGTTCCTCCTCTGCATCGACCACAAAGTCAAGCTGGTCAGTAGTTTTATCAGTTAGACATCAAATTTTGTTTTAAGGCAGCGGCTTCTGGATTGTCAGCCACCCAACAAGATGCTATCAAAACTGCTTTCTATAACTTGGACACCCCTGAGACGGAGACGCTTCGCTTCCAGGGGCCCACCTTCTATTTTGGAAACGCTTCCGTGATGGGTGTTTGAGAAGCGAAGTTGAATAAATTTTTGTAAAACTACAAACTGCAGGCGCGAGAGGTGAAAAGCACTTTTTTCGGATCGTGTAGCCCGTTTTTGAGCCCCAAAAGCTTCTCTCTAATGGGTCGGAGAAATGGCCGATTTTGACTATTTAGGTATCTATCCGAAGCTCTCGAAAATCCGAGAAAAATAGGGACTTTGTTTCTGTTTGTATTGTAATTGCGGCTTTGTATGACCACAAAACCGTGAAAAACGCCTGCTTATGCGAAATCCGCTTTTTTGTACACCCAGTATGATCATTTCCTAGTACCCCTGCAGCCTCGTAATCATCATAAAATTTGATTTCTTAGCCCGAACAGCTCCTGGGCCATAACACGGGCGTGTGGGTGGTCAACTACCGTCTAATTGCTACCCAACTTCCGCAAAAACCACATATTGAAATGGCCAATTTTGCGGCAAATAACTCCCGGTTCGACCCCTCAGCTGACCTTTCAAAAATTGGCCCCCCACTACGGTCCGCGACATTTTCCATTAGCCCGCCAATTATCGCTCCATTTACCCCACCGGGTAGATCCGCACCGAAATTTGGAAGGTTGCAACGCACATCACTATTTGATTTTGTTTTTAATGTAAGTGATGTCGATCCCAAGGCTTCATTTCAAAATATGAAATTTTGCAAGGTCCAATTTGCTGATTCGGAATTCAGCCTGTCGAAATTTCATATGTTGAGATTCATAATGTGAAACCCAAATTGTCGGAATCCATGATGTCGACATTCCGCAATGCAAAATTTCGGAATCACTATCACGAAATTTTTTTAATAGTTGTTTGAGGATTTCAGCAAAATTTCGACAAGATGAACTTTGACATTATAAATTTCGACATTTATAGCAATACCGATGGAACCATATTGGTGGAATTACAATCCGCAATTCTTCGCCACCGATTACTTTGAGCCGGTGACACCGGATGTGGCGGTGGCGCCTGTTCTTCTTGGGGTACGGTAGTTGAGCTCTCGTTTAGAATGTTCCAGCTAATACAGATAAATTTTACATTTAGGTTGCCGCCGTTAGTTTGCCAATACTTTCGGGAACTGTGGTTGGTGTTATTCGGCATAAAAGAATGTCGAATGCGATTAAGGTAGGCATGTGTAATAGTATAAGATTTTAACGATTTCAGGGCTACGTTCTTGGCGATTTGTTATGCCGATTTCAATTCTCTGTTTGCCTACTATTTTTTGGGAGTTGTCAATTATCAGAAGAGTAGGATTTTAGTAACTTTCAAACGTTAATCAGTTTTTTAGTTGGTTCTGCGTACAGGCTGATGGCGGCATTTTCAATCTACGTTTTAATGGGCTGCTGAGCGCTTTTTCACTAGCGCTACAACGGGCTACGATGTATTTTCAATTGGCGCTTGGTTTAAACAGGTATTTAAAAATAACTTCATTAAAACTATCCAATCATTTAGATTCTTTGCTACTTTCTACGAAGGGATCTACTACAAAAAAGCGGCGATGTACCCGTATGCACAACTTGCGGGGATTATGCTATTTCCACTAGTCCTTTTCTACATTCAATTAACAACAAGTAAAGAGCTATTTCGATAAATTAATTCGCAGATTTTAGTCTACATCCAGAGCGACGGATCTCTCATTTTCGGAGGTCCTCTCTTCGATCCAAGGGTGGCTGGGTATAACTCGTTTGATGTACTGCACTATGATTGGAGGGGGCATTTAAAGGTGCACAACCATTAAAAGCACTTTATTTCATTTTCTTAGTCAAGTCTCGATTATTTGGCTTTTTCTCTCGACCTAATAATGTTGTCGATGGATTTCGGGATATTTTTTCGGGTCAGGCAACGAAAGTTGGCGCAAAGTCACGCTGAGTGGCGTTTATTTTACCAGGTAATTATGGTGATTAAAACGAGGTGCAATAATATTTCTTTTATTCAGATTGTCACCAATCACATGGTCTATTTTCTCTCCGCCCTGACGGCTTGGTGGCTGGGCCGACAAGGATCTGTATTTTACCAATTCACAGTAAATACGATGGTCATTCCAATTTTTAATGCAATATACGCGTAAGTTATCGTATCGGCGACCACTATCCGATTTAGAATCGTCGTCGCCTATTTCCTGATTCCGCCAAAAGTTCCGGAACGGACGACTACTGTCACGGAAATATCGGCGCTTTCAACACGAAAAACAGTTAGTGCGATGGCTAGCTTGGCCTAAGCCTAAGATTAAGCCTAAGCCTAAGGCAAAGCCTATCATCCTTATCGCCGTGATAAACCATTTTATCTGAAATTCACGGTCATTGAAAAGACATAATTATAAAAGACAGAGACTTACTCGACCGTTACTGGAGCCCGATGGCCGCAGTATTTTTCTTACAACGAAAAATCCTGTTTTATCACAATTTTTGGTTGTTTTTGTGTCCTTTACCACGAATTATTTCGAACTCCGACCGCGAATCCTTCATTCCACTCACTTATCTTTCTTTCAACGTTAAATCAGCGTTTATTTGGTTGATTTGTGCCCGGAAAAAAATTCCTGTCTTAAGGTAGTGTCTCCAATTTTTTACATTTAATATTTAAACGTTCGATTTCCTCGAAATCCCCTATAAAACTGAATATACCAAATGTTCTGTAGCTATAGCGCAAAATACCGCAGCTTGATACGTTTTTCGAGCTTCGTTCCGATACTGTACGTGCAAAGTCACTGGGGGCTACCCCCAATTACGAAAAATTACTACATCCCCCTAGCCAAACCGGGCAAAAAAAAACAAGCCTTTGGTACCTGCAATTTATTGACCTTAAACGTTGACCTAGGTACAACCTACCCAGGCTTTATCAAAATTTATTCTAAGCTCAGGACAACTTACAAGTTCGAAAGACTTCCATGGAGGAAGCTGCCGAGATTCTGAAAAAGTTTCATCGTAATACCCCGGGGGAGGATCCATGCATCCACAATGGGACGTGGCTCGCCTATTACTACTACTACTTCAACTATACCTATTGGTACGACTGTTCGTATTATTATAATTGGGAGGGGATGCCGACGGTTAATGTGCACACGATAAGGAGTGGGTTGCAGACCACGCCTTATGGAGTCATTTTTGTTGTCGTAAGTTTTCTAGCCATTTCGAGGGGTTTTTTAAACTTACTTTGATGCCGAATATGATTTCTGCGAATTCTGTAAAGTTCTGTAAACTTTGAATTGATGATTCGCTAAACCTATCCAATTTTTGAAAGTTTACCATGGACGGATTACGATAGGAAATACATATTTTTAGGCCGGAAGCATTGGCATTATCACATGCCTCCTCGCTACGGTTTGCGTAGCACGGACCGGCTATACGAAGCCTGCCTCAAAATTCTACCTCTACGCTATGCTGTTAATGAGTTTATATATGAATTTTCAATTTCTATACCGTGCCCATTGTCTATTTGGATTTGACCCAAATAAGGCAGCGTTTACGCACACATATTGGAGGTATGCTTGCTTGCTCCTGGACAAATGGGCGTTGAGAGACCCTTCCAAAACCTTTCAACTGTATGTTTTAGTTTTCCTTGTCTAAACACTGACGGCTGGCCCTACGCGGCCTTTATGTTAAACATGATATTCACTTCATATTGGTGTGCATCGACTTTTAGTTATTACCTGCTAGTGTGGTTCCAGGTGTTGAATAGGTCAATTAATAGAATATACTCGAAATTACGCTGTTTGAGGTTCTTCTATCGTTTCAATCCAAATTGGTATAAAGCCACCTGTTTTCTGCTTTTTATTCACATTATCGTAATTTTAATAGTTCCGGTGTTGCCTATATTATCGTTGATTGATAAGAGTAAGCTTCAGTGGAACTATTTTCCAAAATATCATTTTATAGAGCTGATCAAAGGTCCGGGTTCCTGGTCAGGAATCGAACCTCGCGATAATTACCTTGGACTTTATTATAACCCGGTGACCAACTTCTTCTATGGCTATTACATGAAGAGGCTATTTGTACGATTTGGGACCGGGTAGGGCCAAGCTTTGATAAAAATATACTTATCTATGTAGTTCTTTGGATCCTGGTTGCACCAGATATGTTGGTGTATTCTTATGGATTATCACTTCTGCATATTGCAAAAATTGATAGGCGCACCAAGAGAATTTACAAGAATTTAGCCTACCACCGCTGCACGGCTCGAAGATCGACAGTTAGACAGGTATCCAGGTCAGCGCTTGGTGTAAGGGTTTTAGATCTTCACCACTCACGCCATCGTTTTGTGTCTCGTGGTTTTTCTACGCATTCGTCGGGCTATTTACTCTCTGATTTTCGTATCAGGACGACCAAATGGTGTATGTTTTGCTCAGTACCTTCACCCGGCGTTGCTGGCTATTGTGTGTCCGTAAGTGAATTATACTCCGTTTTGAGAACTGAAAATAGATTTAATCAACGTTTAAGGGTCCACTTATCTACTACTACCACCCCTTCCAAGACCTACAAAGCGGAGGCCCCTCAAAAAGTGGTGGGAGAAAGCGATTGTAATCGTCGTAAGCTCGGTTTGCCAGCATTTTGTGAATAAATAGTCTCAAATTAGTTTTCTGCTTCAATTATGTGTTTTCTCCATACATTGCCTTCGGACCTTTCTGCAGAGGCGGTCTTCTCGGCTCTCAATACGGTAAGTACGGACGTAGAGGCTACTATACCGCTTCCGGGAATTTCGAAAATCACTACGCCCACCTGCCAGCAAAACAATAATTATGGCCTATACGGCGGATTTGAACCCCCAAATTTCGTGGCATTAAAGTTGCCCCTTGGCCGGCGGCCCACACGAATTTCCCTTTCAGTTTACAGCCTAATTCTCAAGACAACTTTCGAATGGAGGAAGCCGCCGAGATCCTCAAAAGTATCATCGTAATAAGCCTAACGAGGATCCTTGCGTCCTGAATGGAACGCTGCGTACATATGATTGGCATTACTTTAACTATACGTATATGTACGACTGTATGTATTATTATA